TCTGGGAATTTTTTAACAAAATTTTGTTTTTTATTGCATTTTAGTTTTTGATGTTATTAGATTAAAATGTAATAAGGACTTAATTTTAGTCAAAAAAATTCCCAGAGCTCCATTTTCCTAGCAAACTTCCCATATATCCCATATTACTAATTAAATGTTTTAAATAATTACAATCTTTTTTATATTACTTCTAATTCTTTAATATTAAATTAAATTTTTAACAAATGACTTGTATAAAAAGTAAAGTAAAGATCATTTGAATTAGTTACTGTTTAATTATAAACTTTTGCCTAAAACAATCAAAATTTTAAAGTATAGTGTAATTTCTGATCAAACTATATTTTGCTATTCGCACGTATTTTACGTTTTTACAAGTCGTAAATCCATGGAGACACTTTATTACGTTTACCACACATTGTGATTATAAAATGGTCAGAGTAATTTCATTTATTTGGTCAAAAGTATGTATTATAATTTCCGCGTCTTTAAATAACACGTGAAGCGCTTGATTATCTGGTCACTTAATCATCCGCAGCTGGAAATTAGATAATTTTTGTATCACATAATCGCCAATTTGATTGCGTCAGGATGCATGAATACTATAAATTCCGCAAATCTCAAAAAAAAAAAAAAAAAAAAAAAAAAAAATTTCTCGTTTCTCTAACTTTGTTACCCAAGTGTCCAGCTTTTCTCATAACTTCAGATTAGTTTGCGATTTCAACGAACAACTAACAAGCTATCCTTATATAATACAAAAGTCTTTCCTCGCTTTCTCTTTCCCAACTCAAAATATTCATGGAATCACAACGTTGTCATCACTGTGGTCTTCCCGGTCATAAGAAATACGAATGTAACAGTAAATGCCGTAGCAATTGCCGTGTCGGTTGCAGGTGGGGCGAGAAATTCACTGCCAGACGTCCGCCAATTGTACACAGAGGTAGTTTGGAAGTACAAGGTCAGCATAATGTTGTAAACACACAACGAAACCATGGTTCTACAGGCAAGTATATTCAATAATTGGAGGAAATGTATAATACGAAGGAATAAGAATATGAACATATTTGATTGTATATTTTGAACCAATATTTTTATTGAATTTATTTTAACGGTTATTTATCTGTTTCACGGTTTCAATGACTAATTTGGAGATATTATGTTTCTTCACTTCTTTAGAGATTAATGGTGGACATCTAAGTTTGCCTCAACAATATCCTCATAACGTCAATGATGTTCGATTTAGTCATAACGTTCAGCAGGGTTCAATGCATTTACAACAAAATGTAGTAGAGAATGTGCAACAACATGCTTCTAGTAACTTGCAACAACATATACCTGGAAATTTACAACAACACGTAACTGGAAATATGCAACAACATGTTACCGGAACCCTGCAAGTTAATAACGCGAGTATTCCACTTTTTGGGCAGCAATCAAATGGAAATAGTGCGGCAGCAGCACTTTTGGATCCAACATTAGGGCCACTTCTTCAAAGTGCCTTGGAAGTCTGGCCTTTTTTACAACATTATCCACAGCAACAAACGCAACAGATAAATAATACAAATCTTTTTGGATCTCAAGCATCGAATCAGCAAGCCCAAACATTTCTTTTGCAACATAATACTCAAAATCTAGGATATGTGCAAAACCCACAACAGACGGCGCAATACCTCCAGGCTCAACTGCAACAATTGTTGAGTGCGAGTATGAATAATGTTAATGTTAATAACGCTGCATCACAAGCAGTTTCAACAGTAGATTCGCAAGTGCCTATAACGATGACGTCTGCGCAGCCGTTCGCGCAACAAATTGTTCCAAGCTGGAACGGTAATCAAGTTAATGTTAACCAAGTTAATCAAGTGCAAGCACAAATACAAGCACAGGTACAAGTACAGGGATCACAACAGCTGGATCAAGTTTTGTCTCGGCAGTCCACAAAGGATAACAATGTGAGTTCACTTAGCTTGATTGTGCCAACTACGACATCGGATCCACCAATAAAGGAAGAAGTATTATCTGATAATCAAGTGCCTTTAGAACGACAAGAAATGACCGAACGACAAGAAATGACAGGACGACTAGAAACGACAGAACGACCAGAAGCGACAGAACGACCAGAAGCGACAGAACGACCAGAAACGACAGAACGACCAGAAATTACAGAACGACCAGAAATTACAGAACGACCAGAAATGGCAGAACGACAAGAACGACAAGAAATGACAAAACGACTAGAAATGACAGAACGATTAGAAATGCCTCAACAAGAGAAGGAGGCAACTGAGCAACAGACGCGAAGACCTGGAGAGACGAACGCCGAAATAATTACGAAACTAAAAGCATTAAGAGACAAGATTAAGAAAGGTTTACATCCCAGAATTAAACCCCCGAGATGGGTTCCCTGTAATCAACAAGTGGAAAGACAACACATACAAAAAGAAGCGGAGAAGGACTCCGCAAGACAATTCAACAATGACAACGGCAGCAGCAACAGTAACGTTAGCAATAGTAACAACGACAACAATGGCTATGACAGGCACAAGGACATCAGTCGTCAAAGTGATCTATTAGGATTAGGAATGCGAGAAAGAAGCCCAGCAATGACGGGCGTTGAGCAATGGCCGAGTTCACCGACAATTTATAGATCACGGCGGAGCAGATCTCCATTTAATGCTTATAGGTATGAAAAAGAGGGCGCAAACTCTGATTACAGGAGATATCGAAATCGAAGTAGATCTGCGAGTCCAAGAAGAGCTGTTCGGAATGATTATATTTTAACGGGGTCAGTATCTCCTAGCAGATTTCGTACTCGATCAATAACCGAATACGATGAAAGATATTATGTTCGAAATCCCGGACAAGAATTTCGTGATAAGTACCCACCGCGTGGTGTGTCAATGGCTATGTACGAAGAACTAAGACACGGTAGACATAATGAAAGATACGAACGACCTTTCGGGCGATCTAGGTCCCCGATTGGATACCCAGGAGGCCGTAGACCGAATGTTTGGCACGGAGAACCATACGAAAGAGAGAGACCCGGTCATGAATTCCATTACGAGTTTGCACACCGACGGCAAACTAGTCGTTGGTAGGTCCTTTTTTTTCTTATATTTAAAAAAAAAAAAATAAAAAAATAAATAAAAATAAAAAAAAAAGAAAAAAAAAGAAAAAAAAGAAAAATAATAATAATTTAAAAAAAGAGAATAATTAATTAATAATAATAATAATCATAATCATAAAAAAAAAAAAGAGAGACAGAATAATGCTTATGTGAAGGGTGACCCTTTATTATTGGACGATTATTAAAAAAAAAATGGGTGTAAATGACATTTATCTCATGTAAGGGATTTGGCCACTTTCACAAGTGAGAACGATCACGAAATTAATGATGACAATTAAAAAAGTTATGTATATGTAAAAAAAAAAAAAAAGAAAAGAAAAAAAAGAAAAGTAAAAGAGAAAGAGAGAAAAAAAGATTCCCATACCAAAGTACTATTTATTTATGATCAAAAAATTTGCAAATTTTGGAAAAAAAAGATTTAAGTTGTGCACAAGAGCTTTTTTTTTTTTTAAAAAAAAAAAAAAATTTATTAATGTAAGTGAAATTGTTGAAAACTTTTGCATATATACTAATTAATTTCTTAGTTTTCCATTTTATTCATTTATATAGATAGATACGTGGACATTGTTAAATAAAAGTAAATATAAGCAAGCATATGGGCAGTAATTACATCAGATTGTCCATTAATTTGTATATAATAATTATTTATTTGAATCACTTTAATTAATAAGATTTTCATAAATATTTCATTTTATTTAGAACAACAAAGTAATTTTTATAAAATGAATCTTAATGATGTTAAATCAATTAATTATTCACATTCAAAGATTCTGAACCCTACAACATTGACGATTTAATTCAATGAAAACGCGAATTTTCCTCAAGAATCTTATATTTGAAATGACAAATTGATCCGTTTATTTTAATGATTTCAAAAATAATCATGGTTATATCACAAATATGTATATAAAAGAGAATTAAATTTAACTGATAATGTACAAATGAAATAAATGAATAAAAAAAAAAAATGCAATAATAATCTAAAAAAAGTCCATTTCTTTTGTGTTTGTTTTTTCTCTTGGTTTTTTTATCATGCACAATAAAATCTATTTTTTCCCGCCTAATCTTTTAAGCTTCTAATAGTTGAAAATCAGTCCAAGGAGTGTAATAATTTTCTGAAGATATACATTGATTGTTGTTATTAACATAACGTTCCGCAAATTTAAAAGAAATATTATTTTCCATCATATATTGTTGTTGCATATCTTGAGATGTTACAGATGAGAAATCACACCAATCATAAGGATGAAAGTGCTGTTGATTTTCAATTATATTTTGGGTGATCTCAGAAAGTGGTTGTGTCAACAATAAGTTTTCACCCAAAGTTGTAATTGAATCCTCACAAGATTGTCCTACGAAAGAGTTAAAGGAATCCGGATTATTCCCAGCGATATTATTATATAAATAAGGGAAATCGTCGATATAATAATGATTTTGTATTTCAAGTTCGGGTGACCAAGTTAGGATTGAATTTTCTTGTTCATTTATGTATAATTCTTCGTTGTCACCGTTTTCGTTGTAAGTGTCGGTCAGTGATTGTTCAAATGTGCTTTCCGGTGTTAATTGATTGTTGTAGTAATAATAACAGAAATCTTGATTAAAACAATTTTCTCCTCCGAACGTGTATGGATCTTCCATTGGAGATGTAATTAATTGGGAGGAAGGTACGAATAATGTGTTAACATTCTCGATTGAGGATTGTTGGAATTCATTTGTTTGATTTTGGTATTCAATAGACATTTTTGATATATATATATATATATATATTTATTTATTTATATTTTTAAAATAAAGATTCCTATCAGAGCAAAATTAAAGATTAGATTAATTGCGCCATCTAAAATGAAAAAATTATCATGAAAAAGAATGATACTTACCAAATTTTTTAAGATTAGTAATTTTTTTTTATTTTTGTTAAAAAATTTTATTTTTTTTTTTTTTAAAGTCTCCGAAGAATAAGTAGTAATGTTAAAGCGAAATAAAAAAATTTGGGAGGAAAATTTGAGCTCTTTATATAAAAAATTTTCGACAATAACAACTTTTGGTTTATTTTTTATTTTTATTTTTTTGTTGTAAAAAATTATAAAGTAAATAAATAAATAAAAATTTTTATTCTGTGACATGAACAAATATAAATAAATTTTTTGAATCCTTTAAGGCAGATCAAGGCTTTTTATGGTTGATTGGTTGATTAGTAAACGATAAACTAAACTATTTATCCCTCCTACAATTTCATAATTATATACAATGACACTGTTTTTATAATATAAAATAAGGTTTAAATTGATATATTCACTTTCTATTTTTAGTTGGACCTATAAATAAATAAATAAAGAAAGTCTTAGAAAACGTTACCAATAACTTTTCTTGGTAAATACTATTAATGAAAAAAAAAAAGTTTCTTATACGGGTTCCTAAGAATAAAATAAATTGAAAAAGTTTTATAATGAATTAACAAAATTCGGAGACAATGAGGATTGAACACTTTTCTTTTCTTTTTTTTTTTTAACTATTGACGGAGATTGCCTTCCGAAAAAGTTTTTTGGGGGATTTGTAAAAGAAAAAAGATTAGGCGCCCACGTAACTCTATTAGTATTAAACACGTTTTAATGAAAGGTTCTAAATCCATTGGTAGAATAAAAAAAATGCATACAATGAGATAATTCAGCATTGAAAACCTGCAATCAATTTATTTTATTTATGAAAATAAAATTGGTTTTCAAAGGAACAAAAACGTATTGTTATTGTTGATAACGAAAACAACAAAAAGAGATATATTTTTTTTTTTACAATAAAGAAAATAAAATAAACAAATAAACAACGAAAAAAAAAAATGAAGAAAGAAATTGCTAAATAAATTCTTTTGGTGTTAAAATAAACATGACACGTTACTGATTTAGTACCAATTCACTGGCTGCTGTGAAGTGAAATGTGCAGTGCAGTTTCAAATGTACTATGCATTTAAACTCTAAAAAACGTACGACACGATGTTCGGCTTAGAAAATTAAGGAATTCCATAAAGACTCAGCCACGGATGTGGCTGATTTATATGCAGATCTTTTCAGGGCAAAAATAGAACTGTATAAAACGGAGATCTCCCGATTGGTTTTGAAATATCCGGTAAATCTTTCAAACCGGAAAAGTTTCCGGATAGAAAGTTATCAACAATTTTAACTTCGCAATAAATTGATTCTGTTTTTTTTGATGATCCGGTAAATTTATTTGAATCGGATATTTTTCCGGAAAATTTTAAAAGGATCCGGTAAAATTTCATGTAACCGGATATTTGTCTGGAAAATTTTGCTATCCTATTTTATGCCCTGCTTCGATCAAAAATTCAAAATTTCTCCGAACCAATTAGAATGAAAACATCTGATTTATTATTGTTTCTAAATTATGACCTCAAAAAGTACAAATTTAGAGATTAAACCCTCTCCTCTTCTTCTTTTGTAGATAAAATAAATATGTAAATATTTACTTTTAAAGAAAAAATACATGGTATTTTTAGTTGTTTCGCCACAAACTCTGGGCACCCATCTTTTTCGGGATGACTAATTCTGGCAACATCAATGAAAGTTCCATGATGTCATGAAGGTCTTCAAAATAAAAGCCTCAACTGCCTAGAATGGAATTCTAAGATTTCCTTTATAAACGAGTAATATATTTGTCACCAAAACAATAATTTTGGAGTAAAATTTTTTACCGTGATACAACCGCCAAAAAGGGAACGTCAAAGTTGAGTTGTGAGTTGTCAAGTTCATCCATTAATAATGATTATTTGGGTTAACATCACTTTTGAAACAAACAATGTTTCCATAAAAGAGATAAATTTGGCTAAGCAATACATTTTTGCACGATGTGATATTTGCTTGTGATGTAAAATGTTCCCTTGATTGTTCATAATGAAATTTATGAAAGGGATGTACTGTATGTACTTCACCGTCGATCAAATCAATAAATCATATGAAAAATTTTTATTGTCTTGAATTGAAAGTTTTGATGCATGCTGAATCGTGTAACATATCCTAACGACCATTTAACCATTTAACCGCGGGATTGATTGTTTCCTATTGTCATGTTCTTCCAATTCTTTTAAAAAAAAATTTTTTTTTTTCATTTAAATGTTAAAGGCACATAAAGTAACGCCTTGGAAACTCTTTCCAGAATCAATCGAACGAACACTTTACATCGGTTAATAATAATTCCATCCCATCAGCGATAGGGCTGGTTAGGGGCTAGGTTAGAGATTAGGGATTAGGATTGGAATTTAGGATTATGAGGGGTTAGGGGTTAATGTTTTGTTAGAAGGGGTCTGGTATAGTGATCTCATATTCCATAAATTTAGTATATGACCTTATGGTTGGTTTCCTAATTTGTGTAGTACAATTCACTTAAAAAACAAAACAAACTCTGCAAATCAATCTTCCTTTAGAAAATATTTTCTTTTAGGGTGATCAAAAGTATAACAAAAAAAATGACTCCCTTACCTCCCTTACAAATATCTTTGTGTAATATATCTTTGCAATTCATATTCATTTTAATCCTTTTAACCTTTATACTCGTTATTAGCTCTTTATATTTGTTTTTTTCTCCACCTACCACTATACCTATTATTCCCGAAGATATCGAAGATAAACATATTCCGGATGAAGTTAAAGAAGCCGGTTTTGTCTCTTTTCTTCGTAAAAAACATCTTGAATATGGATGGATCGTACCGGGATTACCTCTAAAAAATACTATATCTATTATTGATCCTACGGCGATTAAATCAAGTCTTCACGTTGGTGATAGACCTAAACATCTGTATCAATTTCTAGAACCCGTTTGGGGTAAAGATAATTTACAAGTTTTAAGTGCTAAAAGGGCAAGTAAATATAGGAAATTGTTCAGACCCGCCCTAACTGTTGGTGGTAGGTTAATTTTTTTAAAAAAAAAATAAAATAAAAAAAAAAGAGGTCTTCGTGTTAAATCATTATACTTAATGAACGCGTAATTTCTAGCCTTCTCTGACCAGTATAATGATATCAGAAACCTTGGAGTGGAAATGATTGATAAATGGGAAAAAAACATTGTCTTTAAGCATGAAAATGTGATCAGAATGCAAGATCAAAGTCTCGAATTTTCTTTAAAGGCAACCATTAAAGCTTTAACCAGGCAAGCGATTTTATCAATTGATTAGTTTTATGTATTGACCCTTGTAAGCTAACGTGTTTTCTTTCTTATCATAATGAAATCACAGTGCCGATTTGCCTCAAGATTTTGATTTGAGATTTTATAAAAAAGCCTACGAGGATGTTATTGGTGGTTTATATGACAAGCAATTTAGTGTGATTAATGATTTACGTAACGAACGAATTCATAATTCTCTAAAACAATTGTTTGAGGTTTTGTGCTCGTTAATTGACGAAAGGAAAGGAAAAGTTGATAATTTGAAAACTATAGATTTACTTGGTCTGTTGGTCTCGGAGAAAGATCCAGAAACCGGTAATACATTCGATGATGATAAGGTATGTTTAAAACAAAATAAGGATCAATATCGTACAACGAACACCCTTTATTAAACCGAATATTTCTTTTTTGAAAATTCTTCAGATCAGGAGTATGATGTCCATTTTCTTAACTTTTGGATACCTTACTACTGGAGTTGCCATTTCTTGGACAATTTTTTGCATAACACAAGATCGTGATGTCCAAATTAAAATTCAAAATGAGATCAATCGCGTTTTGAAAGGACGACTGCCATCACTTTCTGGTATATTACTAACTAATGATACACGCTTTTTAACGACTTTCCCCAAGAGTTAACGTATTTTGTATGATATTACAGACTTGTCGAACCTTTGTTACCTTACTCAAGTAATCAAAGAATCGTTGAGATTATATCCACCAACACCATTTCTATCACGTTATCTCACGAAAAAAATGAATCTAAAAGCAAGCAAGGATTCATTTAAACTCCTTGCAGGCACGACAATACTTTATCCCATCACATCAATTCATGAGGATGAACACCTCTTTCATAATTCAAAAAAGTTTGATCCATCGCGTTTTTCATCGGATCAATTTAAGAAAACGGAACCATTTAGCCATTGTCCATTTGGATTTGGTAATAGGGTTTGTCCTGCAGAAGAAGTAGCTATGGTTGAAATAAAATTAATGTTGTGCCTTATTATGCAAAGGTTTCATGTGGAACTAGCTATGCCATTGAATAAAGTTGTAGGAAATGAAAAATTCGTTTTAATGGCAAGAAATGACATTTATGTTAAGTTGGTACCAAGGGAAGATATTGAAGAGTGAGGAAATTACCTGATCCTTTTTTGTCATTAAAAAGCGCTTGCAAAGAATTTGTTGGGAAATATATATAATAAAACTAGCTGAATCTCAAAAATTAGAATTAGAATATAATTAATAATTAATTGTTCAAGGAGTGAAAATTTGAAAATTTATTATTAATTAATGACAATATCCGTTTTTACCTTTAAATCTAATCTTGGGTATTGAATAAATCGAGAACGAGAATAGAGGTCCAATCTCGAATTAGACATTTATAAAAAAAAAAAAAAATTAACAAATTTAGCAAATGAAATTGTTCTCAAAAGAAAAATTTTAACGTTAAATCGTCTCAGAGTCTGGTTAAA